ATCAATAATTATACATATATCATGTTCAAAATAAAAAAGGCCTACAATTTTAGGATTAAAATTCTAAGCTTCAATCTATTTCCCTCGGTCCTATCCCAATAAGTTAGCTCCTATAATATTGAAGAGAAATGAGTGAGTACAACCACTCAATAACTAAAGTTCATCCAACTTATACTAATGCATATCAATCAATTTAAATGCAAGTGGCAATTATTATCATTCCCATGTCAATTTAACATATTCAAGCTTATATTTGCATTGAGCATATATTCATGTAATAATGGCATTATAACACAATTTCACATGGACATAAGTCTAATCACATGATTTTCATCAATAATGTCATAATATAGACAATCATGTGCCCTTCTTATCACTATATGCATGATCATACCTCCTTTATATCTTCCTTATGCCTCTGACACGAAACCATGAATTACAACACACTAAGACCATCTATAAATAAGATTACTTTAGCCATTCACGTGTGAGGGGCTATCTGGCCAAGGTTGCTTAACTCACTTATGGGCCATGATTTCCCTCAAATTTCACATTATGGGGTGCTATTCTCCCTAAACTAACTTCCTCATCAAACAAGTAGAAAACTAGTTAGGTTTAAGTTGTTTGTTGAACAAGTAGGACAATAATATAAATTTTCTCCAGACAAGCCATCAACCTTTGATAGAAGCCTTACCATGTTGATTTCAACTCACTACTCCTCCTCCTAGGTGACCTTCGCCTCTCATAATCATACAGTGCACAAAAATGCAATTCCTCATGGCATGTAAGTAATCATCACACAAGCATACTCAATATTCTTGTTGTACTCACAATATATATGTTCATCTCACAAACACATAACAACACATCATTGAACACCATAATATATTGCTTCATTGAACTCCATTTATAGCATTTATAGAACTTCACAATTTACAAAATCACTGAACTCCTCTTTTACACACATTTCATTGAACTCCATAACATTACATCATTAAACTCTACAAAAATAATGTTATAAAACTATACTAATACTATTTCATAAAACTTCATACATATCATGTCATTGAACTCCATAAAAGCCTAATATTTGGTTTTAAAATATTTTATGTCACACTTGCATGTCAAATAATTTCACACACTTCAATTACAACATTTAAAATAATAAATCAATTAACATACCAGAGAATGAGGTAGATTTTCCTTTGGTTACCCCAAAGTTTTGAGAAGTTAAATGTTTACCTCTTAAATTCACACTTCTAAAGTTTCACAAAGCTTGAATGGTGCTAAATTGCAATTACTCTATATTTAATCACAATATTAATCATTAATATCCTTTGAGGATAATTTCCAATATCTAAACCAATACTTTCAACTCTCACAACTCAATCCTCTCATATACAAGAATACCCATAAAGTTTATTAACTTCCTCTAACTCACATTAATCTCATTGAACTCCCAACTAATCAATAATGGAGTCATATTGCTCCAACCACCGTATTTATGGTGGAATTTCATGTATTTATAGCTCCCAACTACCAAAGACACATAGAACTGTAAATGCTAGGTTTAAATAGTTTAAACAATTCTCATTAATTTTACTTAAGTCCATGGGTTTGGACTTATAGCCTATTAGACATGTGCCTATTTTTTAATTAAAATCAAGTGCTCATCTATTCAATATTATAAGATATTTTTAATTAATATAATTTATTAGTAATTAACATGTAAAATTATACATTTTTTCCATATTTATTCACTTTTATTTATCAGGTTTTCTCAATTTAAAATTTATATTATAATTACATCTCAAAAGACTAACCATATCTTATATGCATATTTTATAGACTGAAAATCATTTTTCTCAAATAAATTCTCACTTCCCAATTCAAGAAAACGCAAGAGGAAGAGAGGAAAAGAGCTTAGGAGCCTTACCTTTATTGTTTGGAAATTTAAAAATACTCTCAATGTCTCTAAATCCTAATCCCTAGCAAAGGTTTCCATGAGCTCCTTGTCTTCTCTTTTGTTTCTCCTTTTGTTTTCTATCAGTTTTGCATTCTTATTTCTACAAAAATGTGGTTGTGTACTACAAAGTATGTACCATGCATTGCTGCATATGGTACAAAAAGAGGACTTTAGCATTTTGATGGCTTGTATGCTACAACATGTCGTGCACGCACTTGGCATGTGGCACAAAACCATTCTTCTTTATTTTTTCACTTTTTGACATTTGGATGGCTTAATTTCTCTCTAGACTCAATTCTAGGACTGAAATCATAACTCATAACACCTAACTTCTCTCTAGACTCAATCCTAGGACTGAAATCATAACTCATAACACCTATTAACTCGCTATAACCACACACTATATTAATTTACTTACTTAACTTCATTTATTCAACTAATTAAGGGTTAAATACTTTAGGATGTTATACTAGCTATTATATGGAATACTTGACCAACTCAAATATATTCCAACAGTCAATTCTACCAAATCAAATTGGCACATGCATTTAAAACTCCATAGTTGGATTACAATCACCCAACATAGTTAATATGCAAATGCCACATAAATTGAGACAAGCAAAACCTTTCTTGAAAACATATTGTGAATCATTCAATCATCACAAGATACGGCCATGAATGTCACAAAACTACATTATGGCTTTCAAATAGAAAGTTAATCAAAAGTATGAGAGTTATAATACTCATAATTACATGTTAATATGCAAATGCTTCCAGTACTACTCCGGTTGAACTATTTCCTATAAAAAGGTTAACCATAAGGAGTGAGATATAAAAGTCATAGTAACCAAAATTAATTTTCAATTATGCATACAATGCAAACTATCATGTGATTTCTAAGTAGGAAATATAAGATAAATTCCAAACATTGAATATCCAGGTAAAGTTAAACTATTTGTATCTTAGCATGACAATACCTTATATCCCTCCTATCTTCATATTTAGAACCAAATCACCCTACCAAAGGTAGATTGGTTGAAGTTAATAGCCACTTATTGAATCCAATACGGGCTTTTCAAGTGGTAGGATAACAATTTCAGACAGCACATGTTTCAAAACAACTTGATAAAAACATAGTCAAACAAATATATACTTCAAAACAATATTCAATTCCAAACAAAATACATATGTTTTACATATGCAACTTTATCCTACTTGGCAATTATTTTTTTGAACAACAAAAGCATGCTTTCTCAACCTTTTCATTTCCAAATAATACAAACACACTATGACAAATCACAATGCACACATAACCACACATTAACAGTGGTTACTTTTGCTCCTTGTTGTTAAAGCTCCCCAGACAAGTGCACCTTCACCTTCCTTAGGGTTTCTACCACCATCTACATACATTACAATGCTAATTATAGTTAATAAAGTGCTAATTAACATTGATCAAAGTGCACATTAATCACACCTTAATCCTAGAGTTAGATTAATTAACCTTATTAGCTCAAAATTGTGACAATCACTTAAACTCTCAAACTTACTTAAAATCATCATCATTATACTTTCTAATAACTTATTTAACCTCTACATAGTTCAATTCATCATTAAATCACTCAAACTATACCTAAGGTTTTGAATTTCACCCATACCACAAACAACCTCAAAACATTTTAACTTATACTTATTTATCAATTAAACACCCATTTAATTCGAATTTAAGGGTTGGGTTGCCTAAAAATTGGAACCCTAGCTTTAGTCACCATGAAAACAAGCTAAATGAGAGGAGCAGAAGGTAGAGAAGTGATTAAATGTGCTTACCTTAGTTATTAGAGAGCCAAGATAGTGCACAATGAATGCCTTCTACAAAAGCCTAGTGGAGCTCATAAATTTTGGCTGAACCCTAATTGTTTCTCCCTTTTGCTATCACATTTTTGATTCTCAAAGTAAGTGTAGATTTTGTGCCATGTGCCGTGGTACATTGCACCCCATTTAGACCCACAATTTGGGCTCACTTTGGTCTATTACCTAATTTAGACCCTATGAAACCTTGATACATTAGTTCAGGCTCAATTTAAATCATAATTTGATGCTTATATATATGATTATCCTCAAATAATCTCGAATATAAATTTATTCTCTAATTAAACTTCAAAAATATTATCAATCCTTAATCTAGTTCCCTAATGGTATCTCAATTTCCCTAATTAAATTCATATTTAAGAATCAGAATGCTACAGTAGATCCTTAGAGAAAACTTCTAGCACTCTTCTAAAGCTCATCACAAATAGTTAAAGGATATTTTTTTTTCACATAGTCTTATATTTTTTTATAATCCCTCAGTTATGCTAATTGGTAGCATTACATCTACAATTGTGTTTCTCCAATCTAATATTCACATCCCAACTAGCTATCATATTTTCTCGTAATCAGGGTTGGTTATACTTGAACTCAAGTAAAGTTGCAAAATCGATAAATTGTTCTACAACATTTCGTTAAAAATTGTAAGATATTTTTTAAAGCGTTAAATGCTTAAAAAAATAAAATATTTTTAGTGTTTCAATGTATAATTAATATGTTTTTTCTTCAAAAAAATTTAATAAATAAATTACTTTATATTTAATGGTATGTAATTAATTAAATAAATTTGTCTAATGAAAATAAACATGGACTTTATGAAGGGATAATTTGAGAAAAATATGATAAATATTTCTTAAAATTTGTAATTTTACTTGGAAATGAAAATAAAGAGACAATTGATAATTTCTCTTGTATTCAAAAACTGAAGAGTGAGGCAAAATTTTAAATAATTTTATTTTGTTTTAAAAAATTTAGAGCTAAAATCCTATCATTGAAGACAGAAATAATACTCCTTTTTTTTTTAATCAATCAAACAAAGAAATAATTCATCAACATTGTTTTTCTTTTCCGCTAATCTAATCAAAATATCCGCTATTTTTTTATTTTAATTTATTTTTTGATGAAAAATATCAGACATTGTTGATGTCGAAGAGTCTTCAAAATCAAACCAGCTAGATTTTAGCAAGCCCCGTCATTCACTGGTCAATCCTCGAGCTATGAGTATATCATTGCTTCATCGTTCTCAGGGTCAACAGGGACGGCCGCGACCCAAGCCCTCTCGCACCCTTTAATCGAAAGCCACACAAGGTCTACGAACCGATCGAGGTATCAGTTTTGACTGTTGAAATAGAAATTAAATTATAGAATATCCACGGTCCGCTAAACTCCATCGATATATTCGTAAGGAGGTCAATTCAAGAGTCATTGAGAGACATGCCATCCGAGATCGAGGTCGTTGAAGAGGTCCAATACCGGGATCAGCAACCGGTAGTTTCCGGCACTGCGTCCGGCGGTGATCAATTGGGGGACGAGAGCTTGCGGAACGATGTCTACACCGCTGCGGCTTATGGGGATTTGGACAAGCTTCATAGATTGGTGGAGCAGGAGGGTTGCTCCGTTTCGGTGCCCGATGGGCTCGGATACTACGCTCTCCAGTGGGCTGCACTTAACAATCGTACTGCCGCTGCTCAATACATTATTGAGGTTTGTTGAATTGTGTTTGATTTATTTGCATTTGAGCTTGTCTTGCTTTCTTTTTTCTTGCTTCCTTCTATTCCATATTCGGTTTGGCATATTTCAGTTTCGACAACAATTTTTCCTGATCAATTGCTTTGTTTTATTATTTATTATATATGCTATTGGAGGCATTAGAATGCAGCTTTTTTTTCCGTTGCTCTTTGTTCTTTTGAATTGACCTGTTCACTTTGGGGCCTAGATTTGACTTGTACGATGTTCTTATGAGTGTGAGTGCATCTGGATTTTGCACTTACTGAGTCTGATTGATAATTAAGAATTATACGTAAAAAAAAAAGAAAAAAGAAAAAGAAAAGATGGTTAAGGATTCATACAATAGAGAAGTTGCTGGTGTTTTCATCCTCGAATTTTTAAGAATTATCCTTCTATGTGATATAGTTCTTATAGCAGAGACAAGAGAAGAGGTTAATTGCAAACTTGAGTTATGGAGGAGGACATTGGAGACGAAAGGTTTTCGTTTGAGTAGGAGTAAGACGGAATATTTATATTGTAAATTTGGTAAAGAACTATTCGACAATAATTTGGAAGTGAAATTGGGAGATCAAATTATACCTCAAGTGAAAAAGTTTAGATATTTGGGAGCCATTATTCAAAATGATGGCGAAATCAGTGGAGATATTTCACATAGAATTCAAGCTGTGTGGTTTAATTGGAGAAAAGCTAAAGGAGTTATTTGTGATCGTAAGGTGCCTAATAAACTTAAAGTAAAGTTTTATCGCACTGCTATCAGACCGGCAATGTTATATAGTAGTGAATGTTGGGCTCTAACGGGACAGCAAGAGCATAAAGTTGGAGTAGTAGAGATGAGAATGTTACGATGGATGTGCGGACATACACGTAAAGATAAAATTCGAAATGAGCACGTATGCGAAAAAGTTAGGGTGGCACTTATTGAGGAAAAAATGGTAGAAAATTGGTTGAGATGGTTTGGGCATGTCCAAAGAAGATCAAGGGAGGCATCAGTGAGAAGAGTGGAACATATAACTTTGAGTCCGATTAAGAGAGGTAGAGGAAGGCCTAAGAGAACACTCTTGGAAGTTGTTGAACGCGATCTCTTAATTAATAATATTCTTAAAAGTTTGATAAATGATAGAGCACAATGGCGTCTTGCAATCCATGTAGCCGACCCCACCTAGTGGGATAAAAGCTTGTTGTTGTTGTTGTTGTTGTTGTTGTGATTGTTTGTCAACAGTTTGGGATTTGCATAATCTCATGTGACTAGGTGTTCATGTAAGGAGAGAGATAAATACTTAACAATTTATAACAAAAGAAGAAATAACAATTTGTTTGGCTCAAACTATATTGGGCCTGAAAGTAGTACTGGACCTCGTGGATTGGACGTCCCAACCAAGGCTACAATAGCTGGAGACCAATAAGTCAAACACGGCGATGGAGTAGCAGGCCTTTAGTAAAATGAGGCTTTGCAACGGTTTCTCCCAGTTATAAGTCTTCGTACCCTACAAACATGGAGCAATTTGTGGACCATGAAGAAGAGCAGGTTCCCTACATGAGGGCAGGGTAGTTACAATTTCAAAAAGAGCATAACTATCCTTGCTAAAAAGAGGGCAGGCTGTAAGAGGAGGGCATCATCCAACATTCTAGGCAACCCAGCAAACACTCTCAATGTTTTAGCCTCTAGCACTACTGCAACTTGCAAACTTGATTTGCTTTGCCTATGTTTTTACTAGTTCTTAGGTTATTCACATTTTTTGCTAGTGTGGACTTTGTACCAACTTTACTTTCATTAATACGAGTTGATCACTCAACGTTTTGCATCTAGTTCTATTGGTTTAGTCTTAGTGATTAATAGAGAATTAAGGTAAAGGATCATGGAATCCATAATGTTTTGATTGAGGAGTTGCTCCTCTAGCATGCTTGGTGTGTGTGAGGTTCTGTTCCTATCTCACGTGGAACAAACCTTTTAACACACCTACACTTTTGTCGAAACTATGCCACAAACAAGGTTAGAAGATAATAATAAGAAAATTGATGTCATATCTTATGGTTTGAAGTGTGGTGTTGTAGACGCAATACATGAGTCAACACTATGATGACTTAGAGATGACTATGTGGAAGAGTTTCCACATCCAGAACATAAGCCTCATCTTGATTTTGATGAAGGGGGCTCCCAGGTATAGGTTGACACCTAGGTATATGTTGGAACCCTAAACATATTTTGAAAAGTTGAAAACCATATAGTGCAACATTGGGCGCCAAATGGAGAAGCTAATTTAGGTACATAAAGAATATAGTCGAGAGTTAAAGATTTTGAGATACAAATACTTCCTTTCCCAACAACAAGAACAATAGTCGCATATGCAATTTTGACTTTCAAGTTCCCAGCACATGGAACATAAAAAGAGAACAATTGATGGCAATCGATTATTTGATCTAATGCTATATAGTCAACAATCCACAAAGATTTGTTTTGTGAGGCTTTCAAGGCTTGAAGGAAGTTACCCTTTTTAGCCACTAATATTGCAGATATTGACTTTGATATGGGTTGCCATGTGAGACGACCACCTAGAAACCCACCCTAGACACAATTTTCAAACCCTAGAAATTGCAACCATGTGGAACATGTGAGAGAAAAATATATTTCTCATTCATACTCACTAGTGCTATACAAATGGGTATTTATACATCAAAATGGAAAACGTAGATAATAAAAGCTAATAACTACTAATAATGACTAATAACTCCTAATAAATAGAGAAGAATATTTACAATAATTACAACATTTTTCACAGGGCTTCACCTTTGGAGAACTTGGCCATGTGGATAATATAAAACTAAGGCTCCATTTGGGTACCTTATGCTTAACTTTTTGGAAGTGCTTTGGCACTTTCACAAAGTTAAAAGCTGTTTGGATTAAACATGTGAGATGAATGTATATCATGAAAGCACATCTCAAATGGAACTGAATGTGGTTTCGGAGGACGTAACTATTGATAACTTTTAGAACTCACATTTGGAATGTAACTATTTATTTTACCATGCTACCCTTTTGCTTATGTTCTTCTTTTTGGTCATCCTTGCCTCTCTTGTTCTCTGTGTCACTATTTTAGGAGGCCATGATCAAGAGCTCCAGCACAACACATGGCTTTTACTCCACATCCAAGCTTTTTTGAGTGTCTTTATTCAAGGGATTGTTAATTTTTTTTTTTAAACTTTTCCTTTAAAGTGTCTTGTTTCGTATTATCATTGTTAATTTTTAAATCAAACATTTAATCATGTTAATTTTTCCTTTTAATTTAAATTTAACCTATTTGGCTCTATAACTTTATGAGCATGTAAATAAAAAGAATCCCTTGTAAATAAGCATATAAATTTTAACATAATAAATTTTATGTTATTTTACAATCTTCACATTTTTTAAACATTTTTAATTTTAATATATTATATTTGTATGACAAAAATTATAGATCATCATAAATCATTATCCTTTTTGGTCATTGTATATTCAAAAGCACAAATCATTATTAATCCAAATAATTTTCAGTTTGCCAAACTAATTTTTGAAAAATTGTATCCAAATATAAATTTCGTTACAATAACTGACTTTCACTAAAGTAACTTTTGCGAAATGAATTTTTAGCAAATAGACTTTTGGCAAACCAAAAATCAAACACGCACTAGACTCTTCCCTAGTTCGCCAACAAGAGCGACATTCACGTGGTATGCTAGACTCCCTAGAAATTCGTTCATGGGTGGATAAGAGATGGAAAATTAGTTCCATGATCATTTTCACATCACATAGTTAGAGGTGTGTATTGTGGAATTGTGCAAAATGATGAAAAGGCTAGGTGAGAGCCTAGAGCATTTCCTCACTAGGTTTGAGAAGCTTCTAAGTAGGTGCAAGTTGCAACTCTTAGAAACGGAATACGTCAAGATGGCCTAGAGAGGGTTAGAATTAGAACTTCGGAAGAAGTTCTAAGGGAGGGAATTCTAGGATCTCTTTGAATTGATTGCTATGATGGAATTTTGGGATTTTTTTGAATTGATGGCTAGGTGACTGAGTATAAAGAATTGTTGTTTGAAGACAACTAGTGCAGAAAAGCCTCTATGGGGATGTATTTTGCAAACACTACCCACATAATAGTAGTGGCAAAGAATGGAGGAAGGAGGAAAAAAATATTATTTGCCATACTTGACCAACGTTTGGAAAAGGCTAGGACCTCAACCTCCACTTAAAGACGAGACACCTAAAGAGGTCCCTCAAAAAGCTCTAGTATGTCACATGTTAGACCAGCCTTTTGGCAAGTTTGACTGCTACATCAAGTATTGAACTCCACCTTATGTTTGGCAACCATTTGTAGGTAAACCGATTGTCTAGGACATTGGACTAAGTGGAGAATAAAGAACAACCCCACGAAAAAAGATAGAGGTAGCTTTAAAACAAAACGAGCCATCCACACAACCACAAAGCCAAAGACTTGTGGTGCCTCTAATGAGGTTCCCAATATGCAATGGAGAGTGGTTCCTCATCACAAACATCTTGCTTTGTTGACTAGAACACAAGAGAGGTTACAAAGAAAGAGAGCCTTGAAAAGAAGGTAAGAGCAAGCTTGCTTACCAAGGGCTAAGGGAACTTGCAATAAGTTCTAATGGAAAAAGATCAATGGTGGTAAAGAAAAAGATCAACGGTGGGTTTACCACCAGTTGGACAAACGATGTACTTGCTGTTGAGGGTTTAGAGAAAAATGGTATGCTTGCCAGTGTCAGGCGTAGACTTGCTCTGACAGTTCATCTTCCCAAAAGCCTAATAACCATTAATAAACTTGGTCTAGGCCTTTGTTTGGAGTAGAGTGGGGTCTTTAGGATTGATGTTGCCCAAAACAAATTGGCCGATGATAGGGAGGCTAGTGAATATAAAGACATCTCTAAGGGTCATGGTAAGGGTTCTGAAAAGGTATAGGAAGCATGAGTACTTGCTACTCTAGAAATAGAGCAAGGTTTGGATCAATAAAAGGTTGCTTTTAAACAAAGAACAACTCAAATTGATTTGGTCAAGAAGCCCCAATTGGTGCCACATCCCAGTGGTCGGAGCTGCTTTACCTTGGGTACCCATTTACTCTTGTTATTGTTCTTTGGCTAGCATTTAATCTTTTCCAAAGAAAGTGGTTTGTGGGTGCATTGCTAGTAAAAAAACTCCTATGGGCACACTATAGGGAAAAGGTACTTGGTGGGTTAGAGTATGTAAAGGGACACAAAATCAAGAGACTATCGGAGGGAGTTGGAGTGAACAAGTAAGGAGATGCCCTAAGGTTTCCAAAGACAGAGAACTAGTCAAGCAAAACACAAGTAAAAAGAGAGCAATAGAACAATGTAGAAATATGAAGGGCAACATAATCACTTACCCAAGTTGGCAAAATAAGGGGATCTTGGCTAGAGCATGAGAACCCAAAAAAAAAAAAAAAACCAATGTAAGGGTTTATGCTCAATGGGTGTGACATCAAAAGAATCAAGAGTTGGGTTAAGGGGGCTTGCCTTAGGAATAGAAGAACTCGAAGCTGCCATAACAAAACTAAGCTTGAAGATGATGGCTGTGACGATTGGGGAGTGATGAGATGAATAAGAAGTGCTAGTGAGGGTAGGCAATATTTGAATTAAGAGAAGGGTAGCCAAAGAGTTGAACCTGTTACACTTAACTCGAATCTGGTGGTAATGCTTTAAAAAGGTGTGCATGCCTCATTAACCATGCCAAGCTAAAGGAGGACATATGGTGCTTGAGAATGATCTGAATAGCAAAACGCACAACCCTTCTCCATAAAAGAGCTGTGTGGGGACAGTTGTTGGGCTCAAAATATGTTGGGCCTGAAGGTAGTATTTGTCATTGTGGATTGGTCGTTTGAACCAAGGATACAACAACCAGAGCCTAATAAGTCAAACCCAATTATAGAGCATCAGGCTTTAAGTGAAATGGGGCTTTGCAATTGTTTCTCCCTAGGATCCGGCACAAGTCCATGTCCCCTAAAATGTGGAGTATTAAGTGAATCATGAAGAAATATTAGGTTCCTAGCATGATGGTAGGAGCATTTACAATTTCAAAAAGAGCATGATTGCCTTTTGCTTAAAAGAGGGTAGGTGGTAAGAGGAGGCATCATCCAACATTCCAGACAACGTAATAAATGCACTTAGTGATTTAGCTTCTAGCGCTACTGCAACTTGCAACCTTGATTTGCTTAGGCTATGTTCATACTAGTTCCTAGGTTATTTATGTTTTATGCCCAGTTTGGATGTTGTACCAATTCTACTTTTGTTAATACGAGTTGATCACTCAATGTTTTGCATTCAGTTATATTGGTTTAGTCTCAGTGATCCAAGAGAATAGAGGTAAAGGATCTTGGGATCACAATGTTTTGATTGAGGATCTGCTCCTCTTGCAGGCTTGGGCGTGTGAGGTTCCATTCCCATTTCACACAAAACATAGTTTTTGTTCCCATATCTCTCCATGTAATTGTCATCCATATCCATTTGCTCATGATAGAATGTAAAATCACTTATGTATTGATGGAATTAAATGTATTATCCATATATTTCCATACTGGGGCGTTTTGATAGGGAATTCTATTTTCAATCCATCTATGCAATATATGAACCTTATTCAATATCAGCTCAATAAATATTTGATGTATTGATTGCCAGCATGGAGGAGATGTAAACGCAATAGATCATACCGGCCAGACAGCATTACATTGGAGTGCAGTTCGGGGTGCTATCCAGGTTGCAGAGCTTTTGCTTCAAGAAGGTGCACGAGCAAGTGCTGCTGACATGTATGGGTATCAGGTTAGTTTTATCTGTTCCCTTTTTTATTCAAAATAATGTTAAGAATCTCATGTGATAAATTGTTGGATGCTAGTGCAAAAAGTCTATTGGGCACATTGTAAGTGACAATTGAGTTAGTCACTTTTCCAATACAAACAATTATTTGTTTAATAAAACTACCAATATATATTTTAATAATAATCGAATATTTATTTTATATAATGTCATTCCACCTATCAATAACTGCACAGTGATGTAAATATTCTTACATAATCTAAAATTGGAAGTCCTAATTTTATTTTAAACTTCACGCAGGCAACGCATGTTGCAGCTCAATTTGGTCAGACAACTTTCCTCTACCACATTGTTTCAAAGTGGAATGCTGATCCTGATGTTCCTGATAATGATGGAAGAAGCCCATTGCATTGGTAAATTAGAGTTATATTCACCCACCTTTTCTACTGCTATGATTCGTTAATTGAAAAGGTTTTTTCCCTAATGTGTTGCATGCTGCTGTTTTGGAAATAGCCCATTTAGTAAACTTTGACCCAGACAAATACCTTCTTTTAACATGTTTGCATAGGTTGTTTCTGTTGGGTGCTCGAAATAACAACAGGAAATAAGAAGAACCAATCTATTAAGATGATATAGAATAAGAATCTCGTTTTATATTTTTCTCAATTGCTATGCTTAGTAAAATCTCCAAAGGGTTTAAGAAATTATTTTATTGATGATATATGCCATCTTTTGCATTGCTAGGCATATTTATAAAGGTAAATATAAATGAAATCTAGGTAACTAGATAATGAAAGACTAAATAAAATCTAAATGAATGAATAAAATCTAAATCTAGATAAAAACTAAATATCTAAATAAAATCTCCTAGATAATATTCAAATTTAAATTAAATAACAAAATCATACATTAAATAACAAAGTAATAAAATCAGATTTAATATTTCTTTTGTCGTTTCCTTCTCGAATAAGTCTTTAAGGGGATCTTATCATTACCCCCTCTTGAAAACTCAACTTGTCTTCAAGTTGAAAAGAGGGAATTTGAGCATGCAAAAGGTCGTATTCCTTCCAACTAGACTCTTCTCTAGGCCGTCCAAGCCATTGTACTAATAGTTCTAGCGAATTATGGCGAGTCTAGCGATGATCCAAGACTTAGTCTGGTGCCACATGGAATTCCAAATCAGCAGATAATGGCAAGGATGCTGGACTAACAGGCGGATCAACCCATGAGCAGGCTACAAAAGACACATCGAAAATGGGGTGAACTCGTGCATCTGAGGGAAGTTCCAATTCATAAGCGACCTTCCCAATCTTCCTAAATCTTATAGGGCCTAAAGAAATAAGGTGACAATTTTCCGAACTCCTCTTGGTGAGTGATTGTTGGTGAAAAGGCTGTACTCGCAACCACACAACATCTCCTTCAACATGCTCAACTTCTCTCCTATGCTTGTCAGTATAAGCCTTCATCCAGTCTTGGGCCTTTTGCAAATCATCCTTCAGGAGTTTGAGCATTGCGTCTCTTGTTTCCAATTGATCTTCTAGATCAGTTATAGGAGTTCGCCTTTCACATAAGGGAGTAAGGTAGGCGAATCTCTACCATACACTAACTTGAAAGGAGAAGAGTTGGTTGATGTATGGTGACTTGTATTATATGAGTATTTTGCTCAGCAAAGAAACTTGTGTCATAACCGAGGTTGTTCATGGGCAAAACATTGCAAATAGGCTTCGAGACCTTGGTCGACCACCTTTGTTTGACTATTTGTTTGGGGATGGTATGCAGTACTCATTTTTAACTTGATATGGCTTAGCCAGAATAATTCTTGCCAAAAAGAACTCATGAAGATAAGGTCTCTGTCAGAGACTATTGAGTGAGGTACCCCATGTAGTTGGATAATTTCTTCACAGAAGACTGTCGTAACCTTCTTGGTGGTGTAAGGACGTGTAAGGGCAATGAAGTGGGCATATTTAGTCAAACAGTCCACTACTACCAATATGACTTTAAAACCACCCAACTTTGGAAGACCAGTGATGAAGTCTAGAGAGATGTCTTCCCAAATCCAAGAGGGTATTGGTAAAGGTTGAAGTAGACTTGATGGTGCCAAGGTTTGATACTTGTTTTGCTAACAAATGGTGCAATGTCACACATATGCCTTCACGTCTGTTTTCATGGAAGGCCAATAAAAGTTCTCCATAAGCCCCTTAAATGTCTTAAGAAAACCACTGTGTCTGCCCATGACAGATGAGTGAGCTTTTGCTAATAGATGGGGTTGTAATCGTGATGTGTAAGGAATGACAACCTGATTATTATACAAGAGATTTTGGTCAACCAAGTAGAATTTTGGCCAAGATGGGTTCCTTTTTAGATCTAACATGATCTCATTAGTGAAGGGATCAAGTGCCAACTCAGAAGAGAGATCATGAACCTAGAGGCAAAAGGTATTGCCATTTGGAAAAAAAAATCTGCATGTTGGGGCCGTCTTGACAAAGCATCAACTCCCTTATTATCCACACCTGCCTTGTGGATGATAGTAAAATTAAATGGCAAGGGCTTTATGATCAATCTTTGTTGAGTATTAGTTGTGTTACGTTGTTGTAATAGATATTGAAGGCTAGCATGATCTGTCTTCATGAAAAAATGTCTCCTAAGGAGGTAATGGTGCCATTTTTGTATGTTAAGAACTAATGTTAGGAGTTCACGATCATAAGCTGACTTGTAGTGGTTGGAGACCAAAAAACCTTTATTGAATGAAGCAATCGGATGGTTGTTTTGCATGAGAATAGCAACAATCCCTTCTGTTGATGCATCACGCTCAATTGTAAATTCCTTCTCAAAATTGGATAACTGTAAGACGGAGGCTATCATCAGTGCAAGCTTAAGGCGATTAAAGGCCTTTTGAGCTTGCTCATACCATAAAAAGGCATCCTTCTTAGTCAACTGATGTGTGCAATGATCCCAAAATGCTTCACAAAATGTCGGTAATACCCTACAAGGCCTAGGAAACCACACCATTCCTTCATCTTTTTAGGAACAGGCCGTTCCTGCATTGCCTCCACCTTTTCAGCCTCAACCCTTGAGCAGAAATTTTGTGCCCTAGAAAGGGAAATTGTGGCCTCCCTATAAAGCATTTTTTTTAGATTGACACAGAACACATTTTCCTACAAGGTCCTTAAAATTGTGCGCAAGTGGTCTTGGTGCTGTTGAAAAGAGGCACTATGCACCAAGATGTCATCAAAATATACCAATACAAATTTCCTTAGATAGGGACGAAACAAAGTGTTCACAGCAACTTGAAAAGTAGCTGGGGCATTGGTTAAGCTGAAGGCATAACTATGAATTCATAATGCTCGGAATGAGTGCAAAAAGCAATTTTATGAATATCATCAGGTAACATCCAAATTCGGTGGTATCTAGAATAGAGATCAAGGTTGGAAAAATAGGTAGCTCCATGTAATTCATCTAATAACTCATCAATGTTTAGAATTGGATACTTATCTGGGATTGTAATGTTATTCAGTTTCGATAATCTATGCAGAAACACCATGAACCATCTTTCTTTGTGACCAATAAGATTGGGCTTGCAAATGGATTGGAAGTAAGTTGAATAAAGCCCTTTTTCAGCAATTCTTCAACTTGTTTCTCAATCTTTGTCTTTTGATAATACAGGTACCTTTATGGCCGCAAATTAGGAGGGTTGGTCCCTGGTAGCAAGGGAATGGCATGTGAGTGGTTTCTAAATGGAGGCAACTTGGTAGGTTCTTCAAAAACTAATGGAAATTCTTCAAATAGTGGCTCTGGGTTGAAATATTGAGATTGATTAGAGTTCACAAAAGTTTCTGTTTGTTCCAAAGAATTAAACTTAGCACCTTTAGCGTTATTAGGAACCCCCTGGATCTTATACTTGTTGCAATTCAATCAAAAAATCATGAAGAGTTGGTTCCAATTAGCTTGTACTGTGTTAAGAGATGATAGCCATTTAATACTGAGAACTAGATCAACCCCTCCAACAGTAAAGGAGTAGAAGTCTTCCTTAATGGTTGGCCCAGTTAGATGAACTACTATATTTTTGCATATTCGGTTGCAACGTATAATGCTACTATCACCAATTTGAACTCTAAAGGAAGAAATAGACTGTGCTAGTAGTTGGAGATCTTGCACTAGTGCATCTGAGATAAAATTATGTGTATACCCACTATCTAACAACAATAGTACTCCACGTGCGCATAATATACCTCTCAATTTCGTTGTTGAACCCGTGTTTCCACCTAAGATAGCTTTTAGAGATATTTTTGTGTTTTCAAGAGTTGTTTCTTCAAGGTCCGCATCTTCAAGAGGAGGAAGGAGTTCCTTGCCTTTGTTCATGATCTCTAGTAGCAAGAATGAGCTATTGCAGTGATGACCCAGTTTGAACGTCTCCCCACAGCAAAAACAGAGACCTTTATCTCTCGTGTTGTTGCTCGACTCCCTATGAGTTCTAGTCCCAATAAGAATGCTAGTTTTTACTGTTCATATGTTATGTTATGAATATACTACACCAATTTGTTATGTATAGATGATGGGCATTCATGAGAGGGGTATTGGTATGAGGCACGGATACTTAAAAAAAGTAAACATATCTGTATTCGATACATATTCGATATGATACTTGTAGGATACTTTTGCATACGTATCCCATATTCTAATATTTGTAATATAATTTTTTTCTCATAATTTTTTATTATATCACTTAAAAACTTGATAAAACGCTTAATATTTTAGTTGATTGCTATAAATATCCTTATATTACTTTAGAAATTCTTGTTTAAAAGTCAAAATTCATATACCTATATCATAAAATGTTGAAATATATATTATAAATATCCTCGTATCCATATCCTAAAATTTTGAAAATTTGCCATATTGTCGTATCATGATGTATCTTATCAGATACTCGTACCCGTATCTATGCAACCTAGGTATTGGATGCCGTCGAGTCTGCTGTTCTAGCTAAGGAGGAGGATGATGCTGGCAGTCTGGAAGATTCTAGTTATGCGTTCGAATATAGGTTGGCAAAGAATGAGTTTGAGGGTCTTCTCTGGTCGTGTGAAGGAGGAGGCAGTGTTATTAAACCTGTTTTGGGTCTGAAACTGATTGGGCCTGGGTCTGCGTGCGTAGATCTTTTTTTTTCCCCGTAAACTCTTGAGCAAGTCTAGCAGCATTGTAAATAGAATTTGGCTTATGTATCCGGATGTCTAATCGTTGTTCTTCTCGCAAACCATTGAGGAAGACGCCTAACAAACAGTGTTCTGGCCAATTCTTGACTTGGGCAGAGTGTTTAGCAAACTGTGAGTGATTCTCTTGTATGGATCCCTCTTGTTTGATGTTGTATAGGAATTCATCAGGATTTTGGTACTCTAGTGGTCTAAAATTTTCTTGAAAAGCTGTCACAAGTTCATCCCAATGATGAAGAGTCCACTCATGGTTGATCCAAGCGAACAATCTCCTTCCAGATGCATAGATGCCCTATCTACCTTAACTTCAGGTGTGTCATAATATTTAAAATATTTTTCTGCCTTTAAGAACAACCCTTGGGGATCACCTCTACTGAATTTTGAAAATTCGATTTTGGTGTGATGAGGCCTATTGTGTTTGTGATTCCCTGGCTCATTTTCACTTTCTTCTTCTTCATAATAGCATCTGCGGTGGCTCTCCCTTGTCTTCCTACTTTTTGTGAATGCAAAGGCTTAAAGAGCCTCCACTTTTTCTTTCAGCACATCAAGAGTTTCAAGTCTTAAAGCGATGGAGGCTAATTGATCAAATACAAGTGGGTTTTGATTTTCTAGGGGGTTGTTAGATGAGTTGTTAGAAGGATTGGTTTCATAACCATTATGTGTGGTAACCATGACTCTGATACCAAATTGTTAGATGTTCAAAATAACAAAAGGAAATAAGAAGAACTAATCTATTAAGATAATATAGAACAAAAATCTCGTTCTATATTTCTCTCAGTAGCTACACTTAAGAGAATCTCTAAATGGTTTAAGAAACTATTTTATTGATGATATATGCTAGCTTTTGCGTTGCTAGGTGTATTTATAAAGGTAAATACAAATGAAATCTAGATAACTAGATAATGAAAGACTAAATAAAATCTAAATCTAAATAAGATCTAAATAAATGAATAAAATCTAAATCTAGATAAAAACTAAATATGTAAACAAAATCTCCTAGATGATATTCAAATTTAAATTAAATAACAAAATCATAAATTAAATAACAAAGTAATAAAATCAGATTTAATTTATCTTCTATCGTTTCCTTCTCGAATAAGTCTTTAAAGGGATCTTATCAGTTTCTTGTGAGAACATAGAACACTTGAAATTTGGTTTGAACTTTTGAATAAGCTCGCTGATTGTGTTGATTGATGAACGTTATGTAATTTACTTCTGTTTTGTAACATTGTCCGTTATGAAAGACATGTTAAAATTAGATCTGAGGTGTGGCACCCAATCGATAGCATACAGAGTTTATTTTGTATTTAATTGGTTGAACATTATTTTTTTCTTACTACATGTTGACTTTTTCTTAAAATCTGGAGGTAGCTTATTGATTCAATTTTCCACATCTTTGTTTCTTTGTTATCAATAAACTTAATTTTTCCTAACTGGTTTCACCTGAATGCAAGAAAGGACAAAAGAAGGAAAAAGAAAGAAATCGGGACCCTACATTTTGAATCCTCTGCTTAACTGAAATGGTTATTTTATGGATTAAGGTGTTGAGAGAATTCCTTCCTTCTTGGTTTGAATATCAGGGCTGCATACAAAGGCTTTGCTGATTGCATTCGTCTTCTGATATTTCTAGATGCATATATGGGGCGTCAGGACAAGGAGGGTAAGTTTAATGCTCTAATATGTATTTCCTCCCGGATATGGTTGCTCTGAAATAGTATAAGCATTGATATTTATATAGGGTGAATCTATTCTTGATTTTTTGAAGCTGTTTAGTAATTTTTATTTCCACTAATTCTACTCAGGTTGCACTCCTCTCCATTGGGCCGCTATCAGAGGTAACTTGGAGGCATGTACTGTGCTAGTACAGGCTGGCAAGAAAGAGGACCTGATGGTTACTGATAATACTGGCCTTACACCTGCACAGCTTGCTTCTGATAAGAATCACAGACAAGTTGCTTTCTTCCTTGTAGGTGTTTTATAATTAAAATATTATTTATTTGTTTAGTATTGTCTCCTTAGTGGTAGTTTGGCATTCATTTAAATTAGCCTCTTTTGTTTCCTGCTGATTGATTTTTTTGAGGTTCTTTTTTCCTTTGTTAGTGGTAGTTGTTTTGCAAAGAATGTCTAAGTACCAATTGATGAAAGTTATTATGTGCTCATTAGTTCCCTTTTTTCTCTTTGCAAAGTCGTAACTTTGGAATAGACATGTATTTAGAAAACTTTTCATAACTCCATTTGAATATCTGCTATGAAACTTGTATACCATTTCTTTTTATAGTCTGCTCTTATAATTTGGGGATTTGTTGTTAGATGTGTTTTTAGATATACTATATTCTTCATGTGATCATATAGAACTCTGCGTAAATATACATGGAACCGTTTGTTCAGATCTTGGGGTGCAAATTACTTTTTTTTTTTTTTCTCTAGCTACTGATTGATACATAAATACCTTTTCCAAAGCAACACATCTCTCGGAATCGTGAAGTCATGCATATGTAGCAGTTTGTATTTTAGGAGCCTATGTGGGAGTGGGGCTCTCAAGTGTGGTGATGAAAACAGTCAGTATTCGTTTGGTTAACCTAGACATACACATTTTTTATGTTAGGTGCATATTCACATTTTGCTTATCTAATGAATATTCACTTATTATTGCTAAAACTTACAGAATGACCAATAACCTATTATATATATATTTATATATTTTTGGCCAAAAAAGACCAATAACCTATTTTTACTTTTATCACCTAGAGAATGTTGGATAAATGAATGAGTAATGCTTGCCCAATGCTGACAAAATTGTAGAGAAGTCTTGTTCCATCCATGTATAAAAGCACCTTGAGATCTTAATCAATCACTTACAAAACTGTTTTGTCCACAAAATTCTTGATGGCAAAACTGAACAACCTTTGCAACATGCAGTGGTCATTTTATTCTGAAAAATCTGTAATTTCTGAAACTGCAAAAACTGCCTTCTCACTCCGAGTACTACATAGTGGCTTCATCTTGAAGTCATGTGCCTATTGTGTGTGGGTGTGATTGTTGGAGAGGTTAGGGTAAAGTAGATACTTGGTATATTTGAAAGAGGGAGGTACCTTACTTATGATTGTCTTTTTGTTTCTCTTGTTAGGTGTTTTTTCCTAAATGAATGATCCTAGTTATACTTAATTTAAGCATGATGCTTCTGAAGATATAAAATTCTTTTCTAATATTGCCCCCTATTTTGTACTGATGCCAAATGACGTGTATTTCCTCTGGTGAGGTTTATTTTCTGAACTAGAATGAATAAGAGGTTTTATTGTGATTCTAAATATGTTCTATAGGGTAATGCCAGAAGGTTGCTTGATAGACGCTGTGATGGAAATAGCCACCTTGGAAAAATCTCCAAATTAGGACTTGCTCCTGTACTTTGGTGTATAATTTTTTTGCTCCTGGTCACCTATATTCATTCGGTCATCTTGGGTATCTATTTTTCTTGTATTTCTTCTTGTGACAATTGTTCCAACAATAATAATACTTTTTTGTAATGTTTCTTCTAATTTTTATTCTTACGATTTCTACAGCGGCAAATCTGCCAAAACTAACAGCTGCCGCTGGTCTTCTTGCATGGTTTGGAGTTTTCCTTGCAACTGCTGGATTATTTATGTTTTACAGGTGTAGCAGGTAGGTGTCTTGGGTTTAAAAATAAGCAGTTTCTCATAAGCATAGTAAATGCATCAACCTTCAACTTGTAAATTTGGAGGCTATTTTTTTTTTTAATCATGAATCATAAATTGTATTGAACTTTACAATTTAGAGACACAATAAAAATAATTTAAATCATGTCTTACAAAATTGTATTCCATCAACATGTTATCAAATAATAATATCAAAGAGGGAACTCTCAAATTCTAAATTGTAAGACTCGGAAAGCAAAATCACTTGCAATAATAATAACCCAATAATTATCTAACTGATAACTCACATGTTTCTCAAGTTAAAAAATTTTCCAGAATTAATCATTTTCCTTATAATTGTCACTGATGTCATCATTATTGTTGTCATTTTCCTACAAGACAATTCTTCCATCCTTTTCCTTACGGTGATAACCATCATCTTTGGTGTCTTCTTCAACATCGTCTTGTTTGTAAATTACTTTTCCTTTTTCTTGTTCGAAATAAGATTTCATGGACCTAGATGTAGAAATGCAATTACAATAATTGATTAATATAAAAAACTTTAAAAATTACTAATAACATGTTTAAGATTGCTTGTGCAATTAATATAAACCTATCTTCCTCCTCTTACTTGGGCCTCCAAATTATCATGGACAAGATCAACGTCTTTCTTTAAAAAATGGGACATCTCATGATAAGTGATTATTTTAAAACGCTATTATATTCACTGATACATTTCACAATATTAAAATAGGGTTTCTTCACCAAATTAAATGGCAACACATTTCCATATGCTCATATACAAGTATCCCAAACCATTTGATCTCTATCCTTCAACATGTCATTAATTGTTAATTGCTTTATATTATTAGGCTTGGATGAGTCTGAGGCACATCTTCCACTTCCTTTGTCTTGGATCCCTTCTTTTGCGTCTCATGTTCTTGACTTTCTTTATCATTCAAACATAATCATACCATCATCTTCTTTCTGCTGGTTGTTTGCAGCAAAGATCCCGGTTTCATCAGAATGAACGTGCATGACTCTGAGATTAATAAAGATGATGTGAGTTTTTCCCCCCTTTTCTGATGAATTTTGCTTTAGATTTCACTTTCTCCCAGAAATTATAATTTTCTTCTTTTTCGCTTATGTATGAGCACTATAAAGATCTTGTATACATTATCAATATTGTATTGTGAATAATTTGTGGCAGGAACCTCTCTTAAAAATTGAGATAAATCATCCTGCGTTGCTTGCTGGAAATTGGTCCCTTCTTTGTGCAACATGCAAGGTTCTCCCTGCATTATTTAGATTGTCAGACCTCTTACAATAAAGAATTCTTCTCCAGCTATCTCTGACTTGCACACACTCAGATGCACATGCTCATCTTTCTAATACTTTATACGATTCGTGCATGTTTTATTGTTTTTTTACTTTAGATTGTCAGGCCCCTTCGTGCGAAGCACTGTTCAACCTGTAATCGTTGTGTGGAACAATTTGATCATCATTGTCCTTGGGTATCTAATTGCATTGGCAAGGTATTTTCTATATAAGTGATTGCGTAGTTTGTTTGACATGTACTACTTGAACTCTTTTAACTGTAGATTAGTCTTTTCGTTTTGCTTTGAGTTTAAAGGGGGAATGGTCGAAAAAGAGAAAAAAATAGTGTTAGACATTTCTTATGCTCCTGCCCTATTCTCTGTTTAGCAAGAAGGACAAAAAATATTTTTTATGCACCATTTCACCGCTAGTAATTAATTGTGACAACGTAATATAATTCAAAATATAATTGATGACTGAACATATAGAAAGTCAACCTGCATATAAGACAATCTTAACAAGATAATCAATCATGAATCATGACATCTGGCACTTTAATTGTAAAAAGCATATATGCCTAGCAAATTTAGCATTAGATATCTAAATTAATTCCTCTTTATATAATGCAACATTGTCATAATGATCATCATTAGGCAATCCTTCAAGTACCTCTTATGAGATTTTTGTTTGATCTTAAGCCATATCTAGAGTACTGGAAGGAATGATGACATTGCCCTCTCTGCCATTGGTAATGATATCATGAGTTAAATCATCTCAAATCCTTATTTTATTTACTCTGAATGATTTAATTTTGGTTGTATGGTTTGATTAAATCTTTAGGTAGCGTCTGCAAAATCACCTAATTTTGGGCTGTTGGTGTGCTATTTTTATGTATTGCGAGCTACTACTACACAAAATAGCTCTTGTTGCATAGCGATTGCACAGGCTAATGAAAGTCGAAAAACTACAAACGTGGCATGGTGCTAGGAGCCATAGTGTTGACTAACAAGCTATATAACAGTATTCATGACCATGATTTCACCTGGTGTAGCTCAAGTATAACTGTAAACTTTGCCTCTTATTAATGAATTCACCTTTTTACTCTTTAAGAGAAAAAGAAATCCTTTTTTTACACATTTTTTTTTGATGGTGGATTTAGCAAGCAGTTTTTATTGGTTCATTTTGGGAGAATGATTGAGCTTGTGAGTGAAAATGTTGTTGAAAGTAATAAAATAGTTTCTTTTTCTTTTTCTTTTTCTTTTTCTTTTTTTGCTTTCCCTTCAGTATCATAGGTTTTTGAACCAAGATTAATCTAGTCGGTACTGTGAAGGTTTATATATAAGATATTCTGTGACCAAACATGATGGATGAAATCACTTAGAAAAGATTTGGATCGTTAATCTTTTCCCATTTCCTTTTGTGAAGGTATGGAGGTGAATGGTGACTTAGGCTAATACTATCTAATGAACCGCCAACTTTTCTTCTTCTTTTCCTATTTATTGGGCGTGCAAGTTGTTTTTTTATTTAGTTATGATTAAATTGACCTGATTGTGGTGGAAACTGTAATATATGATTGCAGAGGAACAAATGGGAATTTTTTCTTTTTCTTGTTCTTGAAGTTTTAGCAATGTTGATCACTGGGGGAGTTACTGTTACAAGTATGTGAACTTTGACTTGCGATGGACTTTCCTTTTATTCCCCATTCTTTTTAAGTTACCAATGGGAACTCGTTTTTTTGTGTACAGGAATATTAACTGTTCCACTTTCTCCTTCATCATTTGGAGCACGGATTCAATATGCATTTACTCATCTTGTGGGGGCTACATCATTTCTAGTTGTTGATTTTTTCCTCTTCTTTGGTGTGTTCGTTTTGACAGTTGTTCAAGCTAATCAGGTATGTATTGAAAGTCTCTTTTTGTATTATGTGTTGATTAAGAATGCTGGCAAACATGTGTAAAACCACTGATTTTATCAAACCACATTGTTCATCACAAATTTCAATTTCCCTTGTCCACGTCTCACTTGTTGCACTCTAGTTCGAAGTCAAGCATCACCGTTGCTGCAAGTTGCAGTAGCTTTGTAGTCTCAATTGTAATCGTCTGTAGTTTGACTTAAATCAACATCATATAACTGAGGATATAAAATTTTGAAAAGCCAAAACTTTGGAGTTCTGTTCATAACATAATAATGTATTATTCTTCGACTACTTAAGTCTGAAGCTTGGTTAAAAGTTGCTGCAGCTCTGTTCCCTTCTCTATGAATTTGATGTAATTTGACGTTGATTAATGCGAACCATGTGATCAAGGATCCACAAGGAAATAAAATAAACACATTAGTGCTCATGATGCTATATTTCATTTCTTATTTCAAAAGATCTTGGAAGCTTGCTTGTCTCATTTATGTAAAACGCAAAAGGATTGATCTCCTTGTCCTCTTGAGTTTATATTTACAACAACAACAACAACAATAACAAGCCTTTATCTCACTAGGTGGGGTCGACTACATGAATTGCAAAACATCATTGTGCTCTATCATTTATCAAGCTTTTAGGAATATTATTAAGAGATCGCGTTCAACAATTTCCAAGAGTGTTCTCTTAGGCCTTTCTCTACCCCTTTTAATCGGACTCAGTTTTATGTTCCACTCTTCTCACTGGTGCCTCCCTTGGTCTTCTTTGTACATGCCCAAACCATCTCAACCGATTTTCTACCATTTTTTCCTCAATAGGTGCTACCCTCACTTTTTCGCGTATGTGTTCATTTTGAATTTTATCTTTACGTATATCTCCGCACATCCATCGTAACATTCTCATCTCTGCTACTCCAACTTTATGCTCTTGCTGTCTCGTTAGAGCCCAGCATTCACTACTATATAACATTACTGGTCTGATAGCAGTGCGATAAAATTTTCCTTTAAGTTTATTAGGTACCTTACGGTTGCAAATAACTCCTTTAGCTTTTCTCCAATTAAACCACCCAGCTTGAATCCTATGTGAAATATCTCCACTGATTTCGCCATCATTTTGAATAATGGCTCCCAAATATCTAAACTTTTCCACTTGAGATATAATTGGATCTCCCAATTTCACTTTCAAATTATTGTCGAATAGTCTCTTACCAAATTTACAATATAAATATTCTGTCTTACTCCTACTGAAACGGAAACCTTTCGACTCTAATGTTCTCCTCCATAACTCAAGTTTGCAATTAACCTCTTCTCTTATCTCTGCTATAAGAACTATATCATCCGCGAAGAGCATACATTTGGGAATTTTCCCTTAAATATGTTCCGTCAAAACATTTAGGATCAAGTTGAACAGATAAGGACTCAGAGATGATCCCTGATGTAGTCCAATCTTTATAGAAAAATCTTTTGTTTGACCACTAGGCATTCTTATACTAGTTTTTAACCCCTCATACATATCTTGTATGGCTTTAATATAAGCAATCCGTACTCCTTTTTTTCCAACGCTTTCCAAAGCACTTCTCTTGGTATACTACGATCATAAGCTTTTCCAAATCAATAAAAACCATGTGTAAATCATCATCTTTACAACGATACTTTTCCATTAATCCCCTTAGTAGATAAATCGCCTCTATAGTTGATCTACCTGGCATAAAACTAAATTGATTCTCAGAAATACTTGTCTCCAATCTCAACTTGTGCTCAATTACTTTCTCCCACAATTTTATTGTGTGGCTCATGAGTTTAATCCCTCTATAGTTAGTACAATTCTAAATATCTCCTTTATTTTTATAAATAGGAATTAATGTACTTCTCCTCCACTCATCAAGCATTTTCTTGGACCGTAAAATCAAATTAAATAACTTAGTTAACCATCTCACCCCTTCTTCACCTAAACATTTTCATGCTTCGATAGATATACAATCAGGTCCGTTGGCTCTACCATTTGCCATTTTCTTAAGAGCTTTCTTTACCTCCTTATCACGTATTATTCGATAGAATGACAAATTTTGTTCTCCTTCATCAATTACTAAATCCTCCAAGTTACTAAATGAACCCTCTCCATCATTGAAAAGTTTGGAAAAGTAAGTCTCCCATTTATTTTTAATTTCATCATCTGTAACTAAAATTCTTCCCTCTTCATCCTTAATACACCTTACCTATTCTAGATCCCTTGATTTTCTTTCCTTATTCTTGGCAATCTTATAAATGTTTCATTTTCCTTCCTTCGTCTCAAGGTTCTTATAAAATTCTTCAAAAGCTTTAGAACGAGCTTCACTCACAGCTTTCTTAGTTTCTTTCTTGGCCATACAGTATCTCTCCCAATTATCCTCATTGTTACACAAATGTGTGGCTTTAAAACAGTTCCTCTTATACTTGATTTTGTCCTGTACACTATTATTCCACCACCAAGACTCCTTATCTCTCGGACCAGAACCTTTTGATTCTCCCAAAACTACTTTTGCAACCTCCCGTATCTTTTTAGCTATATCCTCCCACATAATGTTAGCACTTCCCTGAGATTTCAAATTCCTTTGTCCAAAAGATTTCGCTTGAAAATATTTTGCTTCTCACCTTTTAATTGCCACCACCTAATTTTTGGTGCTACTACTTGTCGACGCTTTTGGATTTTACTCATAATACACACATCAAGGACTAGAACCCTATGTTGTGTCGTTACAGCATCTCCGGGGATCACCTTGTAATTTTTACAAAGTCTTCTATCCGTGTTCCTAATCAAAAGAAAATCAATCTGTGACCTTGAGGACTCCACTTTTGTAAGTGATGAGATGCTCATCTCTCTTCTTGAAACAAGTGTTGGCAATCTTAAAATCATACGTCAATGAGAAATCAAGAAGAGTTTGTCCTTCATTGTTTAGCTCTCCAAAACCAAAACCACCATGCACCCTCGTATACTGACCAGCTTCCCTCCCAACATGCCCATTAAAGTCTCCTCCAATAAAAATCTTTTCACTCTGTGGTATGTGTCGAATCAACCCCTCCAGATCCTCCCAAAATAATTCCTTAAGACTGGCTTCTGTTCCGACTTGCGGCGCATAAGCGCTAACAATATTAACAGTCTCACGTCCAATTATCATTTTTAAGGAAATAATTCTGTCTCCAATTCTGCTAACTTCTACAACATTCTTCTTTCACTCATTATCCATAATGATGCCTACTCCATTGCATGCGCTTACTTTTCCTGTATACCAAAGTTTGAAACCTTGAATATCCTTAGCTTCTTCTCCACGCCATTTTGTTTCTTGCAGGCAAAGGATATTGATTTTCCTTTGAATCATAACCCCTACAACCTTTACAGATTTACAATTCAATGTCCCAACATTTCAAGTATCAAATCTAATTTTGCTCTCATGGACTAACCTCTTTAGCCATGCACGTCCAGAATGACGCGGTAGCCCTTGCTCATTTAAAACTACATTCGGGCGCCGATGCAACGGCTCTAACTTACTTATCACTGTACTCGAGCCATGCAGCGCGTTACTTACGGGCAACGACCTAGCATTAACATTATAATGTCTATTGTTTATGTTCATGATAGATTCAACAAAGTTTTACATTGGCTGTTGATGGCCTAACACAACCCTCCTCCTTTACCCGAGCTTGGGACCAGTTATAAACATAGGTGGAGTTATGTTTACATGTAATATATTTTGCTTCCTGCAGATATCACGTAATATTACAACAAATGAAATGGCAAATGCAATGCGATATAGCTACCTTAGAGGTGCTGGCGGTAGATTCAGGAATCCTTATGATCATGGGATCAAGAAGAATTGTACAGATTTCTTGATCGATGGATACAATGAAGATGTGCAATTAAATGAAGAATCGGATAACCCTGAGGGTATAGGAATGATAAATATTTCAAGGAGCTCAGGCCTCGCCAATGGAGGCTCACATTCTCATATTGAAAAGGGCAATGGCCATGTCATTAATGTCAGTTCCAGCGGCACCAGTTATAATTCGCGCCATGCTTATGCTGATCACAGTCACGGCAATGGTCATGTTCATTCCTCTCATTGTTCCCACAATAATGTCCACAGCAAATCGAAAAATGAGAGTGTTCCTCTCGGCCTAGGTCTTGGTCTTGGTCGGAACTCCAGATCTGGTGCTTCCTCATCATGATAATTACTCGTCTGGTTGTGCTGAAGTGTAATGTGCCATAGGAATTACATCTGGGTTAGATTTTTGTCTATTCAATTTATTTTGGCTCTAATCCACTGCTTAGTGTGCAATTTTGTGGCGTTATATTTTGCTTCTCTTTTATCAGTGCTTATTGATAAAGTGCTGTTATTTGTTTAGCATGTTGGGAGACAAGAATGCGGAACTTGTGATTCATACCTTATGGATTGGAATGACCAAGTGAAAAAGGAGAAATAGAAAATCATGTATCATCCCACTGATTTGGAGTCCAACGATGAAGAATACTAAATCGATGTCTAGCTAGTCACAGTGAATGCGTACGTTATTTTGTAAATTAGCTTTTTCTTATTCTTCTTTACGGTTATTATATTTATCAATGTATTCTCCTAGTCTCAGCTACGTGCTCATCCTTTTTACATTACTTGTACGTAACATTACGGTTCAAACTTCAAAGGTTACAATGACGAAAACAAATCGAACCAAATTCATCAAAGGTATGAATCCGATATGTACCCTTTAAAGAATTAGAATAATGGATCAATGGACGCTCCATCACCCTTGATTCCAGTTTCTGTGGAAAAGCAAAATGAATGTGTCTTTTCATTGCTTTTGATGGGTGGTCTGAGAGTCCATCCATACGTTGCGTTTCAGAGATGCTTGTTGGAAGTGGAACGGTAATTATAAAAAAGATGTTTGACGGAATAGATGAGCTTAGATTTTTACATACAATTGTGACATTTGATGGAATTAGATTGAAAATCATGCATAAGTGGGCGGAGAGGCGTTCACAGTAATGAGCAATCAAAATTTGAATGGTCTATATTTTTAGTTTTTATTTTTAAATTTTTTATTGAGAAAACTAATCATTTAGTTGTTATAGTTTTGATTTAGTTGTAACTTAATTTTTTAAATTTGACTTGTTATAATTCAGTTTTTGAAGTTTTAGTTCAGTTATAAATCAATTTTTAAATTGTCTTTTGCAATTTAGTTCTTAAAGTTTCAACCCTTTAAATAATGGTCCTTATTCTTTTTTTTTTTACCAAAATGGTCCTTATATTTTAAAAAAATAAAATTATAAAGATTAAAAATATTTTATTAATTTAAAATATTAGTAATAAATTTTAATATATTTTTAATTTTTATAATTTTATTTTTTTAAATATAGAGATTAATATTTAAAAGGTTAAAATTTTAGAAACAAAATTGCATGAGGTAAAGTTTAAGGATTAATTTAAAACTGAGTTAAAACTTCAGGATCTAAGTTATAATGACTTAAAGTTCAAGAATTAAGTTACAATTAAGTCAAAAGTACAATAACTAAATAATTAATTTTTTCATTTTCATTTTATATTTATTATAATATTCATTATAAAGAATTATAAAGTTTTAAGAAATTTATCTTATTATTGATATGGATGGTTTATTTTAATATTAAATTTTTATAACTTTTATAAATTGACTATCTAGATTAACTATGTTCAATTTGGATTTAGTATTAAACTCTTTTTATAATTTTTTATTTTAGTACATATAATATTAAAAAATAATAAAAAGATCTTTAAAAAATTAAGAAAAATTTACAACTTGAAAATTTTAAATTTAAATTATATATAGTATATATATAAAAATTATAAAAATATTTAATATTAAATTAAAACATTTTGATTAAATAAGTATTGTCTGGATTAATAATAAGATAGATTTATTAAATTTTATAATTTTATTTAATAAATATAAAATAAAATATAAAAATAAAATAAGTAAATTTGGACAGTCCAGATTGCTGGACGATCCAAATTACTCATTAGGTGATGAGCATGGAAATTGAATGTAGGCTAAGAGTGATAATGTGACACAAAAGTGAAAATTCATGAATTAAATTACAATCATGAATTAAATTACAATCAAGTCAAAACTATATGGCTGAGTTATAGTGAGTTAATGTTCAAAAACTTAATTATAATTAAGTCAAAATTATAAGAATTAAATGGTTATTTTTTTTCAAAATTTACTGATAGGGGACGCAGAATCAGAATCGTGCTAGTTTAGGGACAGAATCCTGAAACACAACAAAAACACAAGAACAAAAAGAAAGGGATGAAATTTATGACAAAAATAAAAAAAGATATGAAATAAATAATGGGATAATGATCAAAGAAAAGATCCTCTAAAGCACCTGCCTCTAGGAACCTTAACCTTCGAATATACCATAAGAGTTGATCATGCTCTTGATCACGTCTGTTTCTCACACAAGATGCCACCACAAAGCATTAAGGCTCACAAAAGTTATAAAATTTAAAATGAATAATTTCATTCAACTTTGTTCCGTTCACGAGAGGGAGCATGCCTAATTTATATAGGTTCATAGAGAAGAATATTTCCTAAAATTAAAACCCTGATTTCCTAATACTAAAAGGAAAAATAATGATAAAATATTCAACCATATAATTTAGGAGATGTGATCCTAAAATTATGGGATTACAAAATTTAAAAATTAATATTATAATTAATTATGACCTTTGACTAGACTCAAAATAGGAAATCAAATCAAAGGACCATTAAAATAGGAAATGATTTAGGAGACAATCAAGGAATCATAAAGGATTTAAAATCACGTCACCCTTGACTTCTTCACTAGAGTTTCATATCTCCTTGCTTGCAAGAGGCTCAACTTGTAGTCTTCCTTGCATTAGGCTAAGGTTTGTATCTCTTGGGCTTGACTCTTCCTTAGCATGTAAGTCCTGTACAAACTCAGCTTTTTTCTTGCCATCAGTGTTAGCATGCTCAGAAAAAGGCAAAGGTAAAATATCAATAGGAGATAATGGATTGAAACCATAAACAATTTCAAATGGAGAATAAGAAGTAGAAGAATGAATAGCCCTATTGTAAGCAAATTCAATATGAGATAAATAATTCACCCAATTTTTCAAATTCCTTTGAATTATCACTCTTAGCAGTGTAGTCATAGTTTTGTTAACTACCTCAGTTTGACCATCAGTTTGTGGATGGGCAGTAGTGAAAAAAAGTAACTTAGTCCCTAATTTATGCCATAGGGTACACAAAAGTGACTAAGAAACTTCACATCCCTATCACTCATAATAGTCTTAGGTAAACCATGCAAACGAACAATTTCTTTAAACAATAAGTTAGCAATGTTAACAGCATCATTAGTCTTAGCATAAGCAATAAAGTGTGCCATCTTAGAGAATGTAACACTTTCCCCGAGTGTTATTCAAAAATTACATAATTCAAATAAACTAAGTGTGGTTAAGGAGTTGATCCTCTAACTAACTTAAGAAATAAATCATTTAAAACCTAAAAAAAATTATAGGTTTTACCTATAGCGCACGGAAGCAAGCCAGACGAAAGTGGACTAAAAAGATGCGGTCATGACAGCATTAAATTGCTATCACGACAGCCTTCTTGGGCCAACTTCCGGGAGATGCTATTCCGTCATTTGACTTTCGATCGAAGTGATTTTAAAGCTCACACGTCACATTCAAAAGATACTATAAGTGTACTAAATTTCAAAAAAAATCCAACGGTCGGATTAAAAATTAGACATACTAAAAGATTGGTTATTTTTGCTGTCATGACAGCTCTTCCGGACTAACTTTTGGGGTGCACTATTTCATCATCCGACCTCCAATCGAAGCGATTCCAAAGCCCACATGTCACTTTTAAATAGTACTATCAGCATACCAAATTTTGAAAAGATCTAACAGACGGAATAAATTTCGTGCATGTTGCAACATTATTAATTATTGCTGTCATGACAGCACTTTTGCTGTCATGATAGTTGCTTCGGACCAAATTTTGGAGTGTGCCATTTCTCTGTCCGATATTTGCTTGACATGATTCCAAAGCCCACACGAAGCTCATAAAAGGTTTTACTTGTGACCTAAATTTTAGAGAAATCCAACGATCAGATTAAGATTTGGACACCCGGATGCAAAAGTACAGGTTTTTGGAAAAAACCATTTTCAAAATTGTCCAAATCTCATCCTAATGGTCATAAACTTATGGGAAAACTTTGGACACATCAAATGGGACTAAAAACACCTGATAGAACATTTAAATGGTAGAAAAACCCTTTATACTAAAATTTGACCACTCGGGTGCCATTTCTAAAATGGACCCTAAACCTCCAAAATGCACAAATCACACAAGAGTGGCAAAAAACTATTCCAAATATCATATACACATATGAATACACACGCTAAAAATTTTCACTTGGCTCAGAGATCTCTGTGGGGCCCACGCACCCACTCTCTTTATCCAAGGTATATGTTTGCCCATAACACAAATTCATACATTAAAATAGATTTGAGACAACCACACATACTCACGCACATATACATAATCATATCCTACTGGCACCTTAATCCTAAATACATTACAATAGATTTGCTTAAAAGAAAGGAATTGCAGTTCTTTACAATTCACAAATAACCCCTAGCTCTGCTCCTTTCCCCATCCTCCACTGGTTCCTTCGCCTGGACCTAGAATATTGAAAAGAAAGGGGTGAGACAACCACAGTCTCAGTAATAGAGAAATCTACATTAATTATTACAAAGTAAGCCATAATCGAATAAACGAATAATAAATTCAACATAGTATATAATTTAACCATTTAAAATGCATGAATGCATGACGTAGGCCGGTATAGCCTTTCATGACCAATAGAATGCCCCCTGGTACTCTTTAACTCGCAGGTAAACCTTATACCTACTTGTACCTCCACAGGCATAAAACATAATCTAAGTCATGATCTAATTCACCGAACTGCCTATGCCCCTACGACGTGAATCCTGAGCAGTCGAAGCTAACTCCCTCCTCGAGCCAGCCCGACTTACTCTCCATGTAAGGGCTACCTTGGCCTAAGAACTCAACCTCACACTTCATATGTTGGATTCCCCCCCCACTGAGAGGTGTCAAACACTCAATACACTAACCACTTTATTGCACTGAGCCCACAATACGTAAGGCAACACTGAGTATTGGCAGTGTGCCATAGAATATCAAAAGTCCACACCTTCTCATTGGTGAACTCCCACTGAGATCATGCCTTTTATTCGTGTCTACCTTTCCCGAGTATTGACCACTTCAACACTCTAAGGTAGTATAACATTTATAAATCTCCTTTAAACAGTTCCTTAGCCTATCTAAGGTACCTTATTTAGTTATATTTTCTTAAGTGCAACTTCTATTCCTTATGATTAAAATACATGTAAACAAATGTTTCCATAAAAACATTATTGTTAAACAATTAGAAAACATATTTGTACTATAATCCAAATATTACACCGTAACCCCTTATAAAGCATATTTAATCTTTTAAAATAAGTAATGCATGATAGCTAGTAATATTTATTCAAAAATAGCTAAAATAAAATAATAAGAAATATAAATTTCCTTGTTACCTCAATCCTTTGGTACCAAAAGGGTTCCTCTTGTACAAAATAGGACTCGGGTTGTTACTTAACTTTCAAACAAACTCTACCAACAATCCCTACAATATATAAGTGATCCACATCACTTATCATGACAAATAGCATTTATGAAGA